TCTCTCTCTATATATATATATATATATATATATATCTGTGTGTGTAGCGTTTTTTAGCTCTTTGGTTGGTAGCTGCAAAGTCAGTACTAAGTCCTCCGGGGTGTCGGGAGTACGAACCCGCCTATGTGCGGATAAGTCGAGCGGTTAGATACATGAGATTGGTTGGGGCCTCCTATCATAATGTCTCTATGACAAATTTTTTGAATGACAATTTTTTTGAATAATAATATATCCTATCGCCTTATTCATACAGTGATCTCCTTATTTTCAAGGAAAATGATATAATATAGTGATATCACAAATTTATCTCTACTTTAATTTAGTTGTACAAGATATTATAAGTATTTTACATACATGAGTCTATCGCTCGGCTGCTCTCTGGCATGGTCGGTTCAGCTAAGCCGGTGTTGTTGGTCGGCTGAGCTTGATTAGCTTCGGGTTGGAGGACTGATTTGGTCAGCTACGCTTTTTTGATTTGTTGATATTGTCTGGCTGGCAGATCTTGATCCCTGGATGAGGGTTTCCAATTGGTGGCGCGAGACTAGGCTATCGAGTAGAGCGTGAGTCATTGTAACTCGATCGGTAGATCATTCCTCAACAAGGAGAGCTTGTTGGATGAATATAAGACTATTATATTTTTAATTACCGGTCCCTCATGAGAAGACTGGGGGGCGTCCGTAGAATGGTTGGTGATAGCGAGGAATTAGATTCTTTCCTCGAGTCGAATCTACAGGAAGGTAAGTCGATGTCTTTGGTCAGCTTTCTTACAGTGCTAAGTTTGAATGCTTATCCGTCTTGATTTTGTCTGATTGGTTTTGATCCAATTCGTTTGGTCATTTGGTCAACCTTCTCCTTTGGCTCGAACGGCTTCGGCCGATCGGATAAGTGGACCTGCTTTGTTGTACTTAATCTCTTTTGTACAGTTGATTTACCTCGGGATCTGTGTTGACACAATTTTAATGTATAATAAATATTATTTTATCGAATTAAACGGTTGTGAGTTTTTTTTACTAGATGGGTGTGTTAAAAAAAAGGAAATTTACATACATACTACAATATTCTTATGTAGCTGTGAATGTCTAACACTTAAATTAATAATAATGATATTTTTGATATAATATCAAAAATTTGAGTGGCATGTATGTAAATATGAAGTTTAGGTGTTAGATATGGTTTAGGTGTTAGATATGTAAATGTTAGATATGTAAATATATAAGAAATGTGTGATATATATGTGAGATATTCAGGTCAGGCTAATATTCAGACAAAATAAGTTCTATAATCTATTTATTGATTAAAAAGTTTAAATTAAATTATGTTTAATAATTAAATGAAAGTTTAATCTTGCTTATTTTATTACAAATATAATATCATAGAATTCATCCTTATATAATTTGATTATACGTTGCCACATAATTAAGATATATTTATGTTTAAAAAAAAGGTAACCTTATAAAAATATAAAAATAATAAATATATATATGAGCTCTAGCTCGGTTAATAGATGAGCTTGACTTTGAGCACGGGGTTCGATAAACTTGTCCCACAAACTCGTTATTGAGTCGTGCTAGAGCCGGCTCGCCTCTATTACACCCCTGCTCAATATTAATAAGAAGCAATTTTAGAGTCATTAACAATAAAATAATAATAATAATAATAATTCAACCAAATCTTTTTCAAAAAAAAAAAAAAGAAAAAAAAAAGAGAAAGAAAAACTTACTTATTTAAACTCCCACCTTCGCATTAAAGAATGGAACTTGATGCTCGATCTTTATCTTTATTCTTTGCTGATAAGAACTATTGCGATATTTATTCGGTCCCTGAAAAGAATTTGTTTTTATACATAACAAAATAAGAAAAAAAATTAAAATTAAATTATGTAAATAGATGCCTCATTTGAATAAGCTTATTAAATTATAATATCAATGATATCCCATCAACAACAAATTTTCATTAAGTGATTTGAGACGTGACACGGATCTTGATGTAATTTTTGAGAAAACATTCAAACTTTGATTTCCAGAAATTTGAAATCCGTAAATTTATAATCAATTTGATCGGTCTGACGAGACGGACCCAACAACGTTAAGATTGGTCTAATCCAAGTCGACTCAAGGCTAAATCGAGCCATTAAAACCATTTTTGGAATCTTCTAGTGCACAATTGGAATGTTAAATGGATTTCAAGTATTAGAAGCTTGTATTCAAATCAAGTGTCTCCAGAAGATGAATTCAACGAGCATAATATCACTCAATTTCAATATCATTAATGCACTCAAATGTCCACAGAATGACGTCTGATCAATGGAACCTCTTTGGAGCGTCCGAATGAGTCGTCTGGATTCCTTCCTTAATTAAAAGGAGGCTTCTCACAGACTCTATAAATAGATTTTTACATTCTTCAAGAAAAGAGCTCTGAGAGATTGACATTGAACTAAAAGAAGACCAAAGTTTTAAGGAGTATAACTCTCGTGCTCTACACTGAATATCCTATTAATGTTGTTCGCTTCTATCACTGCCGACCACCGTCCACCACTACCCGTTGGTCGCTGTCAACAATTATCGACCATCACTTCCTCCTTGATGAAGTCCTTGTTGGAATCACAATGTACGTTGCAGAATCACGTCGTACATTGCAAAACAACAAAACGTCATGAACATTGTGATAGAACTCAATAAGAAGATGGTATAACAATTCACCCTGAAAATAGTGCAATAACACACCTTGAAGATGACGTAACAACATATCTTGAAGGCGGTGCAAAAACACATTCTTAAGATGGTATAACAACGCAACTCTGCATATGGTGACCCTCTTCAGATTCCTGAGGTTCTCTCCTCACAGCTCTCTCCTATGGTCTACAACCCTACGACCTACATGGTTCATAATAATTGTGCCTCTTCATTATTGCCTTCGCGACCAATGGACACTATCCCATGTGAACAACTATAGCATAAGTGTCTTGCAGCTCTTGAAAATTCTGATTCTGGCCTTTGCAATCTACGGAAGTTATCACAGCTTGTGCAGACTCAACTTTGGCCACTACAGCATACTGACAGCATCATAGCTCGTTTAGCTCCCAAATTAGGCCTCTGCAGCCTACATATCTTATCACAACTCATATAGATTTCAAATTTTACCTCTACGACCTATGGATTCTATCACAACTCATGCAACTCCCTACTCCTGCCTCTGAGGCCTACAAAGGTTATCTCAGCCATGCAGCTCCCAATTCTAGCCTCTGCGATCTACTGACATTATCTTAGCTCATGTAGCTCCTAACTTCTGTGGCCTATGAAAGTTATCTTTGCTCTTGCAGCTCCCAACTATGGCTTCAATGGCCTACAGATGTTTTCACATTTCATGCAGCTCTCTACTGCAGTCTTTGCAACTTATGGACATTATTGCATCCCATGCAGTTCCCAAATTGACCTCTATGGCTTACAGACATTATCATAGTTCATGCTTCTCCCAAATCCAGCCTCTCTGATCTACAGACATTATTACAGCTCACCACTACAGTTTATATGACCAACTACAACCTACACAACTCACAGATCATACAGCTCCCCACTTTGGCCTTTATGACCTACAAAAGTTATTACATGTCACCATTATGGCCTATATGACTAAATACGACTTACATGGCTCACGTCTCTTACAAATCTCTAATAGGGCTTATAAGGCCAACCAACCCTTCTGAAGCAATTATCTATGATCCACATGGACAATTATTACCATAGATTTCAAATACAACTTATACGACAAGTTAGCGCTACAGACATCGTCCACAACATTCTGGACGGAGTACTCTCTCCATGCCATCAAATAAATGGCAAGCCCATCTTCGGATGGTATCGGCAGTTTCTCCTCAAAATTTTAGTACTTTCATTGACTTTTAGAGAGAAGATTTTCCACGTATTGGTATCTCAACAACACAAGAAATCTCCTCTAGAAAATACCATAACGATTCAAATACAAGATTTTCTTAATGCTGTTTTTAACAAATTTACATTTAAAATGAGCATCTTGATAATATATACAAAACTTAAAAGAACATATAAAAAATGTTTTTTTTCTTTTTAGTGAACATAGCTTTTCTCCCCTGTTGATTATTTAAATTAAAATATCTTCAACACTATTTAGTGTTAATCTTATAAAAATATCAATATCCAATAGTATCAAATTATATAAAAAAAAATACAAAAACAAAATCCTTAACATATAGCTGCCTATATAAAGAGCGCTTTGGGCACACAAATACTATTTTGTCTCGATTCTTATTTTTCTTCACCATAATTTCTCAACTAATTGGTATCAGAGCGGGTTCTAGGGCGAAGGAATCAGCGCAGGAAGAAGATTGAGAAAGAAGTTTGGCTAGGGCTTTAGAATTCGACGAACTGCAACAGTTCAGCGACAAAGACAATTTTTCGTCGGTTTTGATTGCAAATAATTGGAGTACGCGCGACCGAGACGATCATTCACGAACATGCGCGAAGCAGTTCAGCGGTGAAGGGAACTTTCGGCGCGAACACCAATTCAACGGTGTAGCCGCAGAGGAACGGGGAGGTGGCAGAAGCAGCAATCGAGGGAGAAGAATGAATATTCCTTCGTAATTCCTGTGGCGAGGTGTTTGTGGCAAAGGCAGCGTTCTAGTTTGTAGAGGAGGTAACGACAGAAGGAGACAAGGTCTCTGCGAACTCGACAACAGAAGACTTGTAGCGGCGGCGGGAAGGAGTTCGGCAAGGTGGAGTTCGCGCATTCAGGCTCCTTCTGCGACAGCCAGAGGAGTTCTATTCTTCGAAAGCCAGCGGGGCTTCGAGGCGTGATAGTTCATGAATCTTCTTGGCGTTAGGCGAGGTGGAGTTCGCGAACAGAAGTTCACGTGCATTTACCACAAACAGGAGTGTCAATTTGCGAACAGAGGAGTTCGGACTGCGGAGTTCGCAAATTTGTCGCAGGAGGAGTTGCAACAGTAGAGTTTGGTTGTGGCATTCACACAAACAGGAAAGGGCTTCAGGCAAGGTGTTTGCAGTAGTTCGACTGAATTCTTTTTTTGTGCAAACAAGAAAATTTTGTTGTAGGATTAATTTCAAATAGCAATGTTTAGTGCAAAATTCGAGATAGTGAAGTTCGATGAAACCGGGAACTTCAGATTGTAGCAAACAAGAGTGAAAGATTTTTTGGCACAATAAGGAATTTTGAAGGCTTTGCGAGCTACGAAACCTGATAATATGAAAGATGAAGATTGAGAAGAATTGCAACTACAAGCAGCAGATACCATACGTTTATGTCTGGCAAATGAGATTATGTATCATGTTATGAATTTGAAATCTCCATGAGAAGTATGGAAGAAACTGGAATCTCAGTTTATGTCCAAATCTCTAACAAATAAACTCTATTTGAAGCAAAGACTATATGAGCTGAAGATGCAGGCAGACACTGATATGACGCAACATTTATATGTAATCAATCAAATAATCAGATATCTGACACAACTTGATGTGAGTATTGAAGATGAAGACCAAACAATGATTTTGTTGTGTTCATTGTCTTCTTCCTATGAACATCTGGTGACTACTCTTACATATGAGAAAGAATCAATCAAAATTGATGAGATTACAGCAGCATTGCTGGCTTACAACCAGCGGAAGCAGAATGCAGGGGAAAACTCTCATGGTAAGGTGGTTAATATGTAAATATCAATGTTTCGGTGAGTGATTAATTTGTAAATATTAATGTATCGGTTGGTTTGCATGTAATCATTCCTAAAATAAAAAATATTATTATTGCTAGAAGAACATGAATAGAATATATTAAACTGCAAGTAATTAAAAGTATGACAAAGTGTTGCTCACCTCATCTTTTGTATCCTCCAATAACCTGTTTGGACATAAGAGAAGCCATGTTAAGCTGGTGGTAAGCAAGCATTAATATGAATTCTTTTTAAAGCATTGATATGAATTTTTATTGATTAAAATCAGAAAAAAAAAGTGAAGAATATTTGGTTTAGAATCAAGGAAGAATTGCAAAAAATATTGCATCTGGAGTTTGAATATAAAGCTGCTTCCGAACAACAAACATGATTTACCGGGAGGAAAAAAAAAAACCTCCAGTGGATCTCGTTCGTTGTCCGGTCGTAGCTTTCCGTCTGGACTCCAGACGCAATATTTTCTCGAAGAATTGACAGCAATAAAAGAGGAAAGAAAAGCGAAGGTATGGGTTTTAAAGTTTTGTGTTAGAGACAATTATTTTATGTAAGGAAAAATGTAATGTTTACTTTATAGATTATTTAGTACGCTTCTCTGAACATTAACATCAGATATTTGCATAATAATTTAGTGCATAATAAAGAGATAATTAATTATTCACTAAGTTGTTGTAAATTTAACATATTATTTAACTATTTTTATTATGACAAGCTCTGCTAGTCTAATATAAGTGATATGAAAAAGTTTGTTTACATGAGGAAAAACTATTGAAAATAGATAGTATATTATTTGGGTTTACATGTTTTGTCACTTTTATTATATAACTTGTATTGTCGTATCACTTTAGATAATCTTATATATTTTTTTAGTTGAAGTGTATTTGTGGCTTGCGAATTAGTGGCTCTTTTCTAGTTAAATGTTATTGTGAAGTATTATTACTAATTAGAAATATTACTTTCATCATCTGACCGTCCGATCTCACTTTGTGGTTAACTCCACGCCCCTGAGTCGATTGTGATAGCTATATATCTTAACTTTTGTTCAAATACAATTGTTGAACACTAAGTGCTTAGTATATTAATAATTTAGTTTGAAATTTGAGAAAATTTATCACCGTTGATTTCAAGCAATTAGTGTTTGTGGTTTGGGTGGGACCCAATAAAAATCTCATAATTCCATTGAGTGTGTCTTGAGTTATCTTCGACTGTAATTTACTTAACCGAAAGATGTAGTCAATCGAATCAAACTGAATGATCATTATCAACAGTCATAAGTTGTCTTTCAAGCAGATTTTATATGCACAAAGAGAATTTTTATCTAAGAAGATAAATTCAAATCATCCTTCACTAACAAAGAGATAGTATCAAATGAAGCATGTCTTTATGATTTCTTTAAAATATCTCACACTATTAAGAACGTGCACCATGCCCTCAGTTGTGTCGCCCAAGCGAATCTCTTATTAGTTAGTTGAATTTTTTGTCTAAGATGATAGGTTTAAATTATCCTTAACTAACGAATAGCTAATTTCAGATGAAGAATGTCACTATGATTACTCTTAAAATATCTCACGCTAGTAACGATATGCATCATGTCTTCTATTGTATTATTTAATCACTAAATATCACCATAAAAATAATAACCACAACCAAGCTTTCCAAGTGACTACTTTGTCATGAAATGATGACATTGTAAAGCAAGGCTATTAGAGAACATATGATCTCTTATTGAAATCCATATGATTTCCAATGGCTCCGCATCACAAAATTTATGATTATCTTTCTTAAATCTCGAAATTTTGACCTAGAAAGAATAATTCATTCTCTCCATGAAACACCAAAAAGTGATCTAGACAAAAAAAAAACTAATGCATATATTATAAGCAATAAAGGTGATGTCTTGTGGCATAACATTGCATGAATATAAGAGAAGTTCAACTTTCAAATTAACATGTTGAGTTTGTTTCTTACAAACTCACACCATTGATCATATCATTTTTAGATTACTGGTTGGGTATCATTGAGACAAGTTATTTTTTCATCCTTCAGTATCCTAGGAAGTTGACAAAGTGGTTAAATCATTATGTTTGATTTTTTAACATCTTTTAATAGTTAATTTTTAATAAAATTTTGGTGGATAACATATTTGGGTGTCTTTGGCTTTTAGATATTAAAATCATTTATATTGAAACATAATTATTAATACAAAACCCATTTATCTTCATTGAATTATTGTTATATTAGCCAAACTGGCCTCATCTTTATGAGGATATTTTCTAAAGCACGATCGGAGGGATATAACCCCAGTTGATTTGAAGACTTCTGGAGATGACCAGGCGACTAGGTTCGTGTTGCTCAATATTTCAAACTGTTAGGTTGTACCACAATAGCATTCACAATGAAGAGACAAGTACTTTCAAGGTATGAAATTCAATAGTATGTGCACTGTCAATGGATCAACTTCGACGTACAACAATTATGCTTCAAAAGTCTCTCATCTATGTTAAGCTCAGACATCACGTGAGCTTGTGAAATTGCATCATGCTCAATCTTTGACGCCTTAGAGCTAAAATTGGTCGTGGACAAAATAAAAAAATCCATTTTTTTTCTTTTCACCACAATATTAAGTTAAGGAGAAGAATTATTAAAATTGACTCAATATTATAATGTTTAGTATAATTTAGATACAATCAGATTTACTGAGATGTTAAATGTGATTAAACATTATTGGTCTAGAATACTTCTTTCTCTTTTTCTCTATGTCCTTGATCCCTTATTTTGTACTTTTATGTGGTGCTTCATATTGTGATCCTTTATGAGCATCAACATCAAATTAAGCATTTTTTTCCAACGTTGATCAACATCTTTATCATACCCTATATTTCAACTCTTGGGGTCAAGTTTAAAAATCCTCCTCCATTCATTCATGGTCAATGCAACATGAGATGTTTAACACTATCTGTGCAAATCTTATCATACTGTCTAGTCATGTTGCATTTCATCTGTCATTTTTCCTTCAAAATAATTTATGTTAAATTAACCATCCAAAATTATTGATACAGTTTTTGCATTCACCCTACATGTTCAAACCAAGTATTCACCACAACTCTCATCTTATCATGTATGATAATGAAGCATGTGATAAAAGATATAATAAAAATGAATAAAATAATGAAATTACAATAGAGATGAGGAAAATTATATGAAACCAAGGAATGAGTTAGTAAAACTAGTGGGCATAAGTATGAATGGATGGACATCGTACCTTTTACAGAAAGATGATATATACTTTGAGTATTTTTGTGCCTCTTGTTTATCTACAAACATGGAATAACTTCTTTTAGAAAATCATTCCCTTAAAGTTACTTCGCAAAATATTTATCAGGGAATAGACAATGAAATATATAGAATATCAAAAACTTGGTAATGCTGAAGATTTTATGAAAATAATTGTGTGACCATAAGCAGGCCTAAACCAAAAATGGGACCTATTCAATTCAGAGCCTCACTACATGAGCTCTATGAAAACTCTGTTACATAAATGAAAATCTCTTTAGTCATTCTTAATTTTCAAATTTATGGTTTGAAAACAAAGTATGTACATTTTTTCCAAGTAACTTAAGTTGTGTGCCTTAAATTTAAAATTTATTATTGAAGCTCAACATTCTGCAACTGATAAAAGCCCCTAATCTGTGTAAGACTAGGAGAATGAAAACAATGATAAAGAATCCCTAAAGCTTAAATCTTCCTCGTAATCCATGTCTAAAGTATTGTTAACCTGCTATTGATTGATAATAGATTGAATCGAATGCAAGGAAAAGATACTAAACTATTATGACATTAATTATTTACACATTGCATCAATTCCATCTCCACTTCGCATTATCATAAATCTATGTCGATGACATGCATATATTAACAATAATTCTCGTTATATCTCCACATTTGAGATGTTATAAAGCTCTCACATATTATCAGATTGGTCAAGCATAATTTCAGGCTTACTTTAATGATTTCCTTAAAAAATAAAAACTAAAGTTTGATAGATCTCTATTGATGGAACATGTTGAGATTTTCTAGGAACAAACTGAAAAAGACATGAAGTATTATCATATAAAATATTGGAATGGCATTAAATATTGCCTTTGGATAAGAGTGTCTTCTTCTTAAGAAAATCGCTTAAAATACGCAAACTTAAACAAGCTAATCTTTGTTTCTACAAATATTTTTGTTGTCTTCTCACTTAAAAGAATGAAAACTGTTCTATAACTGACATAAAATTCTAACTAGAATGAAAAATGTTCTATAACTGACATAAAATTCAAACTAGCATGATCAGAAAAGGAGGCAAGAAAATATCATTGAATAAGTACATAATATGAAGTTCTTACCTTTCCCAGCTGGAAGATTGTTCCAGTCGTGTACTCTGACCCAAATCTCTTCACCTGTATCCAACTGCAACATGGCAACAAAAACTTAAATGCAATTATGCATAAAGTACAAGATTCCAATTTTGAGTTTTCCCATCTCTCTTGTCATTTATAGTTGTATGCTCGCTAATTTTGGCACGCGCGTATCAAACTCCAATTACCAAATTCGAGTTACATTTTCAAGTGACTTAAGTAAGAGAAAATCAATGTAGAATTGGAGCGTGGATAGTATGTCTCCATGTAATTCCTCATCACTTAAACTCTTGATATTCTGTTAGAAGAGTTTGTTCATGATATTAGAGTTAACAAAACTCCTTGTAGTTCTCCTGAGTAAAAAAATCATGCTAGTCAGATTTTTTTATGAAATGAAGATTTTAATATTGGTAGGAGTGATCCACCATATCTTATAGAAAGAAATGAATGATTTCCAACAGACAGATACTGTGAAAGCAATTGAAAATTTCTAGTGAAACATAAAAGCTAATAATTGTTCGATTGTGCTGCAGGTCTGTTTGATAAATTGCAGGGAAGGACAACTATCTTTGACTACATATTATCTCAGGAAATTTAAATTATTTTATGGCTAGAGACAATGAATGAATAATGGATTTTCAAAAGCAATGTGATTTTTCTGTCGGATCTATAATAAGTGAGATCAAATCATCAGCCTGAAAAGAAAATGAACTTTATGTAGTTTATCATTTTACCTTCTCTAAAGTGTGGTCTAGCATTTTCTCACAAAGTCCATCCAACATTTCAACAACTGCTTGTGTGCCGTTTCTATAATAAATTAAAGAAACAATTAATGTTAGTTTGAAGCCAGATGAAAAAAATTGAAAAGCAAATGAGAAATCAATGAATAAAGCTTTCAGGAGCTTATAACGAGGGTGAGCATGACCATATAAACAAAGAAAATTTATAAAATCTTATTAACTCGTTCTCATTAGCAACATCAACAAATTTTCCAGATCATTTTCTAAGATGCAAGAAGAAAGACCGTAAAATTTATATGTATGGAAAATAAAATCAAAGACATTACAATATTTTCAACAAAAACCAACATTTAGAATCACTGAAAAGATAGTTTTTAAGAATAGATAGAAGAATTAACTAAAATAATAAAATATAATCTTTATTTGTTGATAAGAATTGCTAATTTGAGTCAACTTGCTTGCATTTGATGTATTATGCGTTGCAACAAATGCATGAAGGATTGCACGGTCTCTTAATACTCAGAGTATTACATTAATTGAATAGGACTACATCAAATGGTTGAACTCAGATGCATTAAACTGTATGCAAATTAAATCTGCACTTTTGGAGATCTCATTATAAGAAATTGGTATGATATCATGGAGTAAAATGGTAGAGAAAATTGGGATCAAAGAGATGGCTTTGGGCCTTTGACAGCCAAGTTTTGTTTATAATCTAATTATGTTAGAAAAAAATTTGAAAGGTAAAATTCAATTTAAACAGCATTTTGGGCTAAAAGATAGCCATTTTGAAGGTATGAAAATTGTCTGGTGAGTGTAATTTAGTAATTTAGCCATTCAATTTATCTCATACTTTGGTATGTACAGACCAAAGTGATAAACCGAAGTGCATCGCAAAGAGCTAATTGAATAGCGCGAGAAAAGAAATATTACTAGTAGCATCTGGTACTATGTGGATTGCTCGATGATTTTAGGTGGCACTGCAACAACACAGCCTGGCTTAGGGGTGTAAACAAGCCGAGCTTGAGAGAGCCCAGGCTCAATTAGTTCTTGTTCGGCTTGTTAAAACATATTGCAGTTCGTGTTCGACTTGTTAATATATCGAGCTCAAAAAATTTGTTCTTCATCGGCTTGTTTGCTTAGCGAGCCAGATACGAGCTATTCAAGAATAACAAGCCATTTTGATAAACGCAACCGTAGGATGTTAAGTAGATTTAAATCTTATTATTTATATTAAAATACTCATTTAAATAGATTTAATATATTTTAATTAATAATTTTAATGGATTATAAATTTTGTAGCCTTATAGTCAATTAAATTATTTAAAAATGATACTCATCAATTATATATATATATATTATATCGAGCTCAAAAATTTTGTTCTTGTTCAGTTTGTTTGCTTAGCGAGCCGGATACAAGTTATTTAAGAATAACAAGCCATTTTGATAAACGCAACCGTAGGACGTTAAGTAGATTTAAATCTTACTATTTATATTAAAATACTCATTTAAATAGATTTAATATATTTTAATTAATAATTTTAATGGATTATAAATTTTGTAGCCTTATAGTCAATTAAATTATTTAAAAATGATACTCATCAATTATATATATATATATGCTCCCTTATATATTGAGAGCAAAAAATTTGTTCGTGTTTGACTCGTTTGCTCAATAAACAAATCGACACGTGCTATTTAATGAGTCGAAAAAAAGTCATTTGCAAACAACAAGCCGTTTCACAAGTCCTAGTCTAGCTCATCTTATTGCAGCCGGACCAATTACCTTCAGGGAAATCACGTGGAGTAAATGGTGCAATTTGTAAAATATTCTTCCATATTCCTATATATGGATAGAAATTTAATTAATAAATGGATATTGCCATAGAAATATTATCTACCAATAATTATGAAATTATTTATTTCCAACTGTAGAAATTACCTACTGCAGCATAACATTATACTGTATAAATAAGATTATGAGGTCCTCAATGAAATACACATAGAATTCAACTCATCTCTCCTCTATTCATGATATTATAGGGCTAGAAATAAAATTTCTGGCCATCCTTCCTTTCTCTCGTAAATTCATGTTATTTAGGCTTTACAGAACTATCATGTGTTGATGCCTTAAACTCATTTTGATCATTGATAGAGAAGGCTACGTTTTCAATTTTCATGATCAATTAATAGAATAATTTTACTTATCAGTAAAGTAGATATAAAATACTAACTTTTAAATATTCAATTTTATTCTATTCCATTTTTATTTCTTTGATTTTTTTCCATTTTTATTCGGGAGAACTTCACTAGAGTTGTCAAAACGACTCGTTGCTTGCAAACAACTCGTGTTTGATTCATTCGCTAAGTTAACAAGTCGAACACAAATACTTTTTTTTGTGCTCGATATATAAACGAGCCAAGCACGAACCAAAATTTGTTCGTTCGTGTTCGGCTCGTTTTGGC